AATCTTATATAGATGCACAGACTATTTGGGAAGCACCTGCTTTTCTTTTAAAGGGATGAATGCTAGGCCTCACAGCTGACTTAATTTTCCAGACTATTAGACTGCTAGGAGATGGGGTTTATGCCATTTTGCATCCTTTAGTCTGAACTAACATCATCTTCTTTTTCACTTTCATCTCTAATTTAAAGCTGGGGGGTTTTCTCTCTAAGCTGATTGTTCCAAAGCAAACGAGGACGAGCATCTCACCTCCTCTGGAATAGTGATCATAGTGCTGGGCAAGCCTGTAGCAGGGATACAGCTTCTGCTTGAGCTCAGATTCCTGTGCACTTAGTCTCCTGAATATTTTCTATTTACACTTTTTTCTCATTTTCTTTTACAGTCCCATTGGTTTCTAGAGTTTGTCCAAGTGATGTCTGCCGCATCTGGAAAAGCGGTGCCAAGCTGCGCGTTGATATCACTTTACTGGGCTTTGAAAATATGAGCTGGGAGAGAGGAAGGCGTAGTTTAATTTTCAAGGGAGAAGGTAAATATTTTAGCATACCTGCACCATTGATCACCAAATGCTGTGTCAGCCGCAATGAGAAATGCCAGTTTTGTATTAAAAGAATTTGGTAATAGGGCTGAAATTTGACTTCAGTCTCTTACTTACCTTTCTCCCTTCTGTTCTCCTGCTCCCTAAATAAAAATGATTTTAGATACAGCTCCAAATTTGATCTCAGCTGAGTACAAAGTACAGTGAATTAACGTCCACCTTGATTTGATATACAGCATCTTCTCAGTTTTTCATTCTGGAATACTGTTGCCAAGTTTTCTAAACTGAGATGTACCATTTCCAACAGATACTGGAGGTTGGGCAGAACTAATCGAGATCAATCACGATGATAAGTTTGTTACAACGGAGCGTTTTGAGATTTCACAGCACATGAAACGTTTGACACTGGGATCTATGACACCAAAAAGAAAAGATGTGGAAAGACGCCTTACATCTCCGATTATTAATACGTGCCTTGATACAAAAAATATTGCTTTTGAAAGGTAAGATACAAAGTTTCTCATAACTAATGAACACTTCAGGATTATGGATGGTCATACTTGCAGTAAAACTTTAAAAACAAACTCCCAAAAGCCCTGGCAATGAAAACTTCTCGGGCTAGATCTGAAATTACTTTAAACTTCACATACGATTAGGTGAAGAAATTTGGCTTTGAAGAAATTTCAGCTTATCATATTAGTGAGACCAGTGTTAATGCCTCATTACAAGTTTGCTTTTCACCCAAATCCGTATGTGTAGTGCTGTATATAGTCTTCTTGTGGTATCGGGGGGGGTTGGGGGGGCAGATTGACCTGTGCATTTGTCTGGGGTTAAAATCAAATGTTTAAAAACAATTTTAGAAAAATGAGCTGGGGATTGTGTTGAAGTGCAACTGTAGAGACACTTGCGGTGTTTGCTTTTTGTCAGAACCACATCAGGATTCTGGGTCTGGAGAACAGAAAAAGCAGAAGGTGTAAATGGTTATGAAGCCAAGGTAAAGCCCATTCTATATAATTCAGAGGTTTTATTCCTAACTGCATTTTGCCTTTATTTCCTGACTATTTCAGATTCTAAACTTGCCATCAAGAGTTTTATTGTGTTGCTGGCACAACTGGGCAGGAGTGAGAAACTTGAAGGCTGACAGGCTTGTGTGAGGGATGGTGCCTGTATATGGGAACATCAGGAGAGGCTCTAGGGGAGACGAAGGATCAAAGCATTTCAGGAGAAGAGGCACCAAAGATTCATGGGTAGAATTCTCTTCCATCCAAAAACTGGAATTTAACTAATTCTTGAATGTTGTCATTCTTTCACCATTTAAAAGATGAGGAACCTGTTGGTGAAGTGCCTTGAGCACTCTCTAGTAACAGCATCGCAAGCAAATAACAGCCTCCTGCTGCCACGAGTGAATCATGAATTCAAGTAATGAAAGGCTGTTGGTAAATTAAAGACCCTGACCACGCTCTTGAGTCATACAGTTGCTTAGATTTGTTCTAAGTGACGCCACTTTTGTCTTCCATTTCACTCGAGAGAAATATTTTTGAAGATTAGTGTGTTAGGAATTTTAGAATCCCAAGATTTACCTTTCCTGATTCATAAGTCTGCGTTTACTCCAGTTTTTGGAATGTGTGCAACAAACTATGTTTTGTAATTTCATTTAACAGAAGAATAAATGCTGAATACCTTTCTGCATTTATATGAAAGTTCTTCTTGTAAGACTGCAGGACCTTTCAGTTGGACATCGGGGTTCGTTAGCGCTCCTACAGAATTAAACTGTCGCTAAATTTTATTTGGAAGGTCTTGCATGACCTCTGTTTGGAAATAGCATTCTCTCTTAAAATCTACCCATGTGCATATTCTTTCCAGCAGGCTTGGAAAAATGCCTGTCTAGTTTTGAGGCCGGTTTAGTTATTTACAGCAGCGTATTTAAAAGTGTGTAAATCAGCTTTCCAGGAACTTGGGTGAAATTCTCACTTCAGTTGCTGACAAAGTTGATGACCAAACTCCTTTGCCGTTCTTTTGCGAGATTAATGCTGTCTGGAGGCACCATGGTGTGTGGTGTGCAGGGTTTCTCATTTCAGCAGCTTGCCCAGCAGGTGGCATGTAGTTTCAGCCTTAGCATAGGCCTGTCAAGAATATACTATGTGGGATTTCCATTTCACTGAAGCAAATAGAAAAATCAAAGTGCAGCATTTCCTGTTGATCACCAGTAAGTTAAAGATTAAGATCTTTGTTAATGAGAGGCAGGTCTGTGCTGCTTTTCTCTTTATTCTTTAGAGTTGTGTACATGGTGTTTTGCTAGAGACAGCTCTTAACCTTTTTGGGTTTTGTCCTTGTACTTTTTTTTTCCATTAAAGGTATACATTGCAAACAATGTGAATGTGGTCACAAAAATCCGAACGGAGCATCTAACAGAAGAGGAGAAGAAAAGATATAAAGGTAGTTTTCCTATAGGATAACTGGAAATAAATAAAACACTTTGGCTCTCTGGTACCTTCTCTGTGTGACTGCAGGAGGACTGGGCAGATAGACATGGGAAATACTTTTCTTGCTGACTTTGCCCTGCTTTACTTTCACATACTGAGTGTCTGAGGTAGCTCTTTACTTGACTCCTAGCCTACAAATGAACCAGTATTCATCTTAGCTGTGTTTAGAGGAAAGAAGAACCCCTCAAAACTGTTGAAAGCTTATTGAAAGTTTTATAAGGCTGCATTTTTCCATGCTATTCCCTGCTCTGGAATGTATTCACACCTTTACTTCATTTTGGCCATGATTACGAGCTTCATGTAGGTTTCTGGGTTTTGTCCACTAATTTCTTCTAGTATTTAAACTAGTAAAGGGTGACCAGCCAGGAACCTCGTATGGAAACACTGCCCTTTATTGGGCTACCTTGGGGCCCAGGAGGGGAGGCATGGTGAATAATAAAGCTGTCTGTTAATGACAGAAACCACTGGAGATCTTTGCCTCTGTTCTGTGTGCTGTACCCATTTTATACCATCAGCTTTAGGTCCTGGGCTTGCCTGGTAAAGCTTACAGGAAATGTGAACCGGTTACTTTACGTTGGGTTCACAGCCTTGTTTGTTTGCCTGGTGTGTGTGTAAATTTTGCTGCTGATTAGTAGTAACAGATTTTTTTGTTTTTTCCCTCTTGTTACCTGAAGCTGACAGGAACCCCCTGGAATCCTTTCTGGGTACAGTGGAGCATGAGTATGGTGCTCAGGTGAGTGTCCTTGATGTCAAAACAGGTCACTGCAGCGCAGAGATCGGTGCCGATAGGAATTCTGGGTGTGTGGAATCACCTCTTGTTTCTCTAGTTTGGCAGCAATTTTCATTATGAGGTTTAAATTCACCCTGAGGGTGTTTTTGTTTGTTTTAAGCCCTCAAATGTTGTGTACGTATAGCAGGTACCTCCTTCTGAACGCTGTTGTGCAAAGGCATAGAATCCATTAGTTCAGCAAGAGTGGCAGTCAATGTGAGCAAGCACAGATCTTAGTGGCAGCCCAGCAGTAATCTGGGAAGACAGATCCAGAGACCTGCGGGACCCTCAGGTGGGAGACAGCGCAAGGATGGTGGTCATCACACAAAGATAACAAAAAATGAAGTGATCTATTATCACCCTGCTCTTGAGCAACTCGGAGGAAAACCCATATATCCTGTGCTGTTCTGAAAGGCGTTGATAATGATTTTGACATGGCTTTAGAAACTCTCTTGCATCTGTACATAGTAGATAATAGATTTGCCAACTGCTGGCTCTGTATCAGCATGGTGATGTGGATCTTTCATGGATCTAGAGTTTTTTCTTTAAAATACTCCATCAAAGTTTTGCCTTCAGTAAAGGATTTGAAGCCTAGAAATGCTGTAGCTTGTGTGTGCATTTCTGGTTGGTTTCTAGTTTTAAAGTAGAGTTTCCCTGTCTTTGCTTGGAGATTTTTAACCTCAACAGAAAGCAGTCTACACGTGTGCACTTGTGTTTATGGCTAGATGTCACTGGTGTCTGAAACAGAGAATGAGTAGCTACTGTATATGTTCCATACATATGTTTTGGTTTGGTTTTCTTTCCTCTCTTGCCTTAGAGTTCGACCAAGACAACAGAGTATGCTGCAAGTAACAATCCCACTGCTATCACCCTGGAGGAATACTTTGACCCAGAATTTGATCTGAAAGGCAGAGACATAGGAAGACCGAAAGAAGTCACCATTCGAACGCAGAAGTGAGAAATAAAGTTTTAACTATTTCTAGTTTATTTCTTCCCAGGCATCTAATCTCTGGAAACCATTTTTACAAATATCCAGTGTGGTTTGCCCCCAGCTTTCAAAATTAATCAAAAAAAGAGATCTTGGAGTATTCAGCTATAGTCCAATTCGTCTTCCATTAAGTCAAAGAAAAGATTTAGATGAGTGCTGTGACTTGTTAGGAACCTCCTGTGCTTTGCCTTTGGCCTGACCAGGAATGTGGTTTGGTTTCTCAGAGCAGTAACCATCCTGACTCTGAAATACATGAAGCAGGTGACAATGCTATGTATTTTGCTTTGCATCTGTTCCTAAACTGTAATCTTAGGATGTTTTTGTGCAACTTTCTCTTTAAGATTTAAAGCAACCTTGTGGATGAGCGAAGAGTTTCCCTTGTCACTTATGGAACAAGTCACTCCCATCATCGACCTGATGGCCAGAACTAGCGCGCATTTTGCCAGACTTAGGGATTTCATCACCCTGGAATTTCCACCAGGATTTCCTGTCAAAATTGGTAATATTTAGGAAATTTTATTGTAGCATCTTCTTAATTTCCATTCTTTCTCATATATGAGAAGCATATACTTAGAAAAATAGTTTTCTACTAGATATCTCTCTGGTATCTGGAACTGAGAACCCAGATGCATGTTGTCTTGTACATCTGGGATCATTGAATCCAAACTGTGAATGACCAGCACAGAAGTATAAATTTGAAGACAGTATCATTTCAGTAAGAATGAGCTGTTGATAGATCTTTCCTCTGAGCTTCAGTGCCTTAGATTTGGCAAATCTTATTAGAAGAGATTTAGAGAAAGAGTGAGAATGACTAAGGGCAACTTCTTGGGGAAGTGGGTTACTGTATAGAATATAAAATAATATGTATACTTAAGTCATTCTGGGGTGGTACTTGTGGAGTACACTCAATACACATGTGAGGGTTTGATGTGACTGTAGGTGTGGAAGTGAATGAGAGAGTTCTCTTTTTGAGAAATCTTGTACTTTTTCTTACAGAAATTCCCCTGTTTCATGTTCTGAACGCCCGAATTACATTTGAAAACGTCAATGGCTGCCGGACAGCTGACAAAGCATCATCACAAATGGTTGGAGGTGCACAGTGTGATCCAGGTAAGGAGTGGAAAGGTGCAGCCATCGCATCTGTTTACATTTCTGTCAGTGGAATGCACAGAAGAGAGAGGTGCATCAGCTGCAGAGAATGAAACATTCCCAGGTGAGAGTTCAGCCACCTCAGCACTCTTCTGCACGCTGGTTTTATTTGTATAGCTCACCAGTGTCCTAAAGGACTCTGCCTTCTCTCTTACTGTGGTGCTTGTTTGCCACAGAAGTCTTTCCAAGCCTGTTGGTACATTTAGCCAGGTGGTTTATATGAATTTTTTTGAGTTAACTTAATAATGCATAAACATTCATCAGAATTTTTTTAAGTCACAACTTGTAAAAAATATATTATGCCATGTTTGTAACTGTGTTTGGCTTCTACAGGTGCTAATTTCGAGGTTGACCAGTCAGTGTTTGAGATTCCCAAATCCTACCATGTCCAGGATGACAGTAGGAACATACACGTGCAGGATGAAGACAACGAGATCATGCAGTTTGCTATTCAGCAGAGTTTGTTGGAGTCTGGTGGAAATAAAGTAAGTGAAGTAAGAGTGATTTCGGAGTTGCCTTTCAGTGACTTGCACTGCAGATCTGGTAACTGCTGTGGAATTGTCTCTTTGCCCATTTCTAGGAAGTGGGGGTGCATGCCAATGGAGCCGTTGCATATTCACAGGACTTCAATATACAGTATCAGAGGTAACTGATTTTTGTCAGTTCTGCTCTTAAAACTGTGAATTTGATCCCTCTGGGCTGAATGTTTGTTTATTAAATGCTGCGCACTTCAGGGTAGCTCTTACTTATTTTCAAAATCATTATGCAATCCTTAAAAACATGGCCATATGTATTTAACAGACCCTTGAGAATATGCTCTGGTATCTGTGGGGTCTTCCAGCAGTTAAGTGCAAGGGAATCTTTGAGCACACGAAGAACTGCATCCGCTTGGTTCTTTTGTACACAGAAAATCACTTTACCTTTAAACTGAGTGAGAATGCTTTTAGGAACCTGTTGAAAATTTAACTATTAGTAGGTGTGACAGGTTGTGAGGAACCTTCAAAGAACAGGATTTATGTTGGGAACTTTACAGATGTTACAACTGCTCCCTTATCTTGAGAACTGCTTTCTGCCCTCTGGGGCTGGATTTTCGGGTTTGCAGTTGGAAAACAGTCGCTAGGACGCATCATTGCAGGAAATGTGGAGTAGGCTCTGTCTCTGTTACTTCTTGAAGTTCTTTTTCTCCCTCAGGGCTCTGCAGGAGAGCTATCTAACAAGCTCAGGTAACTCACACTGCAGCACCCCTAGCGAACCTTCCAGTTTTGAGAAGGACTTGCAGCTCGCCATGGAGTTGTCTGTGCGAGAGCAGGAGGAGCGGGAGAAGCAGCGTCGTGAAGAGGAAGATGCGGAGCTTCAGCAAGTTCTACAGCTTTCTCTTGTGGAAAAATAACTCCATAGCGATCTCCTGAAAGAAGGATGACCAAACCTGTGTAAAACTGAAGGCTTTCAGAGCCGTCAGTCTGAAGACCACTCCGCAATTGCTTAAGTCAACATTTCATCTGCCTTCTGAGTTGGCATCATCAGCTGCAAAAAGCTGACTTATTTTCGGTTGAGGGAGTTCCATATCATGGGACTCTGCATTTGGCTCCCCAACGGTGCAGTCTTAGCTTTGAAGGAAAAGTTTTTATTCTAAATGTATTTATTGAAGAGCAGATGGAAATGTTGCTTAGCATCAGGACATAGGATTGCAGTAAAGCTTGAAAACCTGATCGATGGGGAGCTCAGGAGGGTAATTTCATTACTTACCAAAGAAATATTCATCTGCTTAAGTAATTTCTGAATAATTCAAAGCCATTGGCTGTTTCTTCCAGTCGTTACATGGGAGAATATCTATGCGCATAACACACACGTAGGGTAGTTCTTCATGCTGACAGCGAACCGTGCCGACAGATGTTTCCCGTTACTTTTGTTTATATGTGATTATCTCTTCTCTAGTTACTGAGATTTTATCACGTGCTCCTGCTTAAGAAGGATCATTTTATACTTGAACAGCTAATCCAAGCTCAAGATAAAACCAGTGCTTTCAGAAAAAGGACAAAACAAGCAGCCAGTAAAATTTTAGAGCCACAAACGGGACCATCTGTCCGGTAAAGCAGCAGTTTCTGCAGTGATTCAAAACCAGCTCGTTCCCATAGGCAGAGGGCAGCGAGAAAATAAGCGATAGGTAGAGGTGCTTCTTTGTGATCACTTGGGGTGTGTGTGCACGAGTGCTTGCCTGTGTGTGGGTGCTACATTCAAATAGCAAAACCAAAAACAAACCAGGTGAAATTTTAATGTGTAATTATTGGGAGAGAAGTTTTAATTCTGTCATCTGAAAGGGAAACGTGTGTTGCTTTTTAAAATTCAAAGGCTCATCCTTCGTGTGAATACATATATTTTTTTATCTGACTATTTCTATTGATTTTAAACCAAGCCAATAGGGCTACGCTCCTAAAAACGGTATCACAAGGATTCACAGGTCTGTTTTAACCAGCTTTCCTCAGGTCTTTCCTCATAGGATGTATTTGTAGCTCTTTTACCCGCACTTCTGCCGGTGTTTACAGCACTTCCACTGCGACTCTCAAGTGCACTCCATGCGTACACGACATACATCCACGGGAAAGCCTTACAGCAGTGAAACGTGAGCAATATCCCTCTGTTCTGGCTGGCAGGAGCGTGAAGAACCCACGGTACCTACGGTCTGAGCTCGCTACCTAATCCTGCACTCACTCCTTGGGCAAAACGGGGGGCGGTTCTGTGCGACCAGCTCTTAACCAGTATAAAAATCACTATAAAACGGACTTGATCATAACCAGTGAGATGGTGGGGAACTCAGAACCCTCTTTTAAACCAATAATCCGTTGTTTTACATAGCAAATGATTAAAACTCCTTCCGTGTACACTAGCACTGGTGTATCTGGGCCGTTTTTGTTTGACGGTACAGCTTGCATCCCTGAACAGCTGATGTGGTGGTTGCAGGAGCGTTGAATTTCCCGCAGTGGCAGCGCTCTGTGTTGGAATTGCGTCCCTTGTTGAAAAGGGGATTGCTGTGACTCTCACAGCTGAGAAAAGGGAAGAAGCCTCGCACTGAGCTCTTGACAAAGCTGGGAGGTAGGAGCTGAAGCTGGGTTTTCCCTCCAGCAGCAGTGAAGAGTGCTGTTGCCTTTATAAAACTTCATAAAACTGTCTGACGGGGATTTCTTTTCTGTTCAGCATTTCAAACGTTACAAGGCGGTGGGAAATCCGTTTATTTTTTCAAGCTGACCTCTGTTTTGTTTAATATATTGTAAACTAATGCCTATTGAGCAGTTTCAGTTTTGTTCTCCTCCTGCTTCTTAGGCTGGGACTGTAAAAAAACAAAAAAATATTTGGGTGTTGGGTTTGAGTGTTTTGGGTTTTTATTTTTTGCTTTCTGTGACATTGGCATTGTTCCATCTAAAGTAAAAGGCCCCGCTTTCCTAAAGCAGGTCCTGCTTTTCTTAAACCCCAGCTTCCATCTTGCAGTGTGTGGTTTAAAAAGCATCCTCTGATGCTCTGCCTGTGCTGGCAGGAAAAACAAAGGCGCTGCACACTGTGACACTACACACACGAGTATTTTTCTTAATTCTCCTTATCTTCCTTTTTTGTACACTAAAGAGACTGTCAGTGGTTCTGCTTTAGCCTAAAACAGCCTCATAATCCTTGGAAATGTTTTTCTGATCTTCTCAGCTAAACTTTTATGAATGACTCTGTTTTGGAATGGGGGATCAGGCAGCGAAAGGCCGGGGGCGGCAAGACCTCAGTGCTCCCGATGCATTTCTGTATGTGCTTTTTTATCTGCACTGAGAGGAGGTAAGAGCTGTGAGATGATCCGAGGTGGGAAAGGGCACTGCCACATCCCTCCTACAGCTGCAGCTGAGCTGGTAACAAACACAACATCCGTGAATAAGTGAGAGTCCTGGAGCGTTTACTCAGCTTTTTATTTGTACAGGGAGCCAGAGCAGGGAGGGAAGGATGAATGCAAACAAGAACGCTGCTCTCATGAACTCGGAGCTGTAGCTGCAAGCGCCACCCTTCACACCCCATGAACACAGCTCCGAGCCGAGGTTTACAGCAGATGGAGGACAGAAAAATCAGTGGTACAGGACACGGTGTTCAAAACCAGAAAAGGATCAGAAAACAACAGGACAGGGCAACACAAACGTTCTGTAAGTTGAGCTTTAAAACACTAAATAAATTACTAGCCAAACCACCCCTATGTTAAATACCAAAGTAATACTTAATAAGCAAAATCCAGTTACTACTCATAGCAGTGCAAAACAAAATAGCAGCATTCATCTGCAAGTGTGATTTCAGTGTAAACAGCTGAATTTCTTACTGAAAATGCACAAAACGGGTCTGTCCGGAGCTTAAACGCAACACGCTTGAGAGCCTGAGCCCTGCAGTCTTGAGCATCTGCCTGGCATTCAAGCAAGGAACCAATTTATCAGAAAGCAAAACCAGATGGGGTATAACTGAGTGTGGGGTCCTGCTCCTCAGACAGCGATGGCTGCAGTTGGGCCGTGGGCTCATCCCAACCCAGGACAATTCCCAGCACCGAGCAGGATGGGTGTTGTGGCCGATGGTGCTCCCCGCAGCATCCCGAGGCTCTGGACACGCACACGCCCTGGGGATGCTCTTGAGAGCATCAGCCTCGCCAAAACACTGCATTCTGGGAGGAAGGTTTGTGGCTACAGACCCCACTCAAACCCACCCGTTTGCTGCTGGAGCGCTCCCAGGAGGTCCAGGGCTCAATCTGCTGAGAAACGGGGTGTGATTTCCAGCGCCTGGCCATACCGTCATTGAAAGCGGTGCCACGATGGAGCCACGCTGATGTCACGATGGAGCTGCGCGATGCTGCGTGGACAAAGAGCCGTGCATCCCATCCCCAGGGCATCCCCGGGCGCTGGCAGGCGAGGCGTGGGGACGGCGGGGTGCCAGGCCGGGAACCAGGCAGGACCAGGAGCTCTTCCCCACCATGGACCCACCGGGTCCCGCTCCGCTACCGCCGCCGGATGGGTTTGTAGACGCAGACGAAATTTTATAGCCGCGGACGGCCATGAGGATGATGGTGAGCAGCAGCGCGCTGAGGATGCTGCCCAACAGCACTGCGGGGTTGGGGGGAGACACGTTAGGATCTGAATACACACCCTGAGGCGCTCCCCAAAATCAGCTTTAGGAAAAAAA